CATACAAACACTCATACACACACAGATAAACACACTCATACTCACACACATACACACACTCATACTTACACAAACTCATACTCACACACACTCAAACTCATACACACACTCACACATACACAAGTGAATATATTTTTTTTAATATCCTCAGTCACCATCCTGTCAGCTTACCTCATGTGCCAGGAGGGTGGCTTGGATTCCTGCTGTTGGTGGGAGTGAGGGGTCTGGAGCTCTTTGTGCTCCTCTCCCCTCTCGCTGCATTACAGGGATCCGGTCGCGGTCTCAAAGAACCACGGCACCTGACTGGGCAGTAATGTTTCCCCAGTGCTATAATCATAGCACCGCGGCACACAGTTTGGGAACAACTGAGTTAAACTATTTATAGTTTAATGGTCTCTGCAAAGAACTGGAATGGAGAATAAGATAAATAATAATAATAATAGTTATTATTTTTAATTTTATCATTGGGAGGTCTGGGGAAATAAAAACACCATTTTTTTATACCTAATACTAATTTGTAATCTAATATTCATTAATGTTTGAAATATTAAAATAATTTACAGTAACCATGGTTTTTCGGTTCAGTTCTAAACCCAAGCTAAAAATAGTATAGCATTATAAGACATCTACGACAGAAATATCTCATCCTTTCATTGTAAAACCTGCCAGAATTAAAGGTCCCCTATAATTCTGAATCATGAAGGCATTCATAGACTCAGTAAGGTGGCAATTTCTATTTATGTCGCATTTATTTTTCATTTATTTCACTTTGCTGCACTAGAAATTTTTAGCATGTAAGTTACTACAATTTCAAATTTCTTATATTTGAAGCATTTAAACCACTATATAAATCCAAATGAAATACAGAAAAAGCATTCTTGCTAAGACAGTTTTTCTTGCTATGTTATAAAAATGTTATTAAAAATGTATATTCATTTATGACAATATCTGCTATTGAACAAGAACAATCAAAAACATATTGTACAATTGCTGTAAAATACACTGAAACATATTATTATTATTATTATTATTATTATTATTATTATGATATTTATAGAGCGCCGTCAAATTCCGCAGCGCTTTACAATGGGTGGACAAACAGACATGTAGTTGTAACCAGACAAGTTGGACACACAGGAACAGAGGCGTTGAGGGCCCTGCTCAATGAGCTTACATGCAAGAGGGAGTGGGGTAAAATGACACAAAAAGGTAAGGATAGTATTAGACTAATGACAGTTGCAGAAGAGGAATCTCTTAACAGTTTAATTGATACGCTTTTATGAAGAAGTGGGTTTTTAACGATTTTTTGAAGGAGTGGAGACTGGGTGAGCATCTAACGGAGTAGGGAAGCGAGTTCCACAGGAACGGTGCAGCCCTCGAAAAATCTTGAAGGCGAGCATCAGAGGTGGGAGTACGGACAGAAGATAGACGTAAGTCTTCAGCAGATCGTAAGGGCCTAGACGGGACATACTTGTGTATAAGGGAGGATAGATAGGTAGGAGCAGCATTATGTAGAGATTTGAAAGCAAGAACCAGAATTTTAAATTGAGCTCTATATTTTATAAGAAGCCAATGTAGGGACTGACAGAAGGGTGAGGCATGGGAGGTGCGGGCAGACAGGAAGATGAGCCTTGCCGCCGCATTCATTATGGGCTGTAACGGCAGTAGTTGGGAGCACGTAAGACCACTGAGAAGTGGATTACAGTAGTCAAGGCGAGAAAGGACAGTGGAATGGACCAACACCTTAGTCGCATCTGGCGTTAAGTAGGGGCGGATGCGCGCAATATTTTTGAGATGGAAATGACAGGATTTGGCGATAGATTGAACATGAGGCTTGAAGGAGAGGTCGGAGTCAAAGAGAACACCTAGGCAGCGATCCTGCGTGGTGGAGCTGATGGTAGCACCGTTGACTTGGAGACAGATACAGGAGTAACAACACTTGAGAGAGGAAAGACCAGAATTTCAGTTTTGGGCAAATTTAGTTTAAGGAAGTGGGCAGCCATCCAGTTAGAAACAGCAGAGAGGCAGTCAGAGACACTAGTCAAGAGGGACATATAATAAAGAGTGATATGAAAGTATAATAAAAGATGGGAGTTGTATAAAATTTGAGGGTCTCCCTTTAGCCCCCTCCTGGTATATAGTGTGGCCCAAATTAATTTCTTGCACCAGGACCCCCACTTTATCAGTTCAGCCACTGATACAGATTTACATTTAATAAAGAAAACCATGGCAGTTACATAGAAACATAGAAACATAGAATGTGATGGCAGATAAGAACCATTCGGCCCATCTAATCTGCCCAATTTTCTAAATACTTTCATTAGTCCCTGGCCTTATCTTATAGCTAGGATAGCCTTATGCCTATCCCACACATGCTTAAACTCCTTCACTGTGTTAACCAGTTTATTCAAGGTGGAGGTTTAAGCCTTCATGCTTGTGGTCTCCTGAAGTAAATAAGAATACATTTATTGAGTAAATCTATCGACTGACAGTGCTGCATTTTATTTCCCTGTCTTGTAGTCAGATTTCTGAAAATTCATAAAGTGGGTCAGATAGTTTAGTGAGAGCAAAGTTAAAACATCACAATGACAGGATAATGTTCCAAAGCAAGAAATGAATAGAAGTGTTTCCATTAAAAAATGAGTAAAATCAGCATTTTATAGCTAGGGTCATCGCCCTAAAACAAATGTGCTAATTTGCACATCAACCTTACATATACCCTTTTACGTAAACTGCTGATAAAGAAAGCCCCATTTGCTGTCACAAACATATGTAAGAATGCAGTAAGTATTACGTATTAACGCTTCAATGCTTTTCATAGTCAATTGAGAGGTGAAAAAAAATACAAAGTAGTAACTGGAAGCTTATTTTTATCTGTTATTAAATACAGAATAATAAATGAAAAACAAACCGACACTGCCACACAACTAATCTAAAATAAACAACATAAAATATATCTAATTTTGCATAAAATGTAGTATTAAGACTTCTATAAAGTAGCACTCTTTTTATTTGGCTTTTAAAACCAACCAATCAGTTGTTCAGATTAAGGCTGCTTACTAATCAACAGCCTACAGATGCTCCAGCAACATGAGAATATTATTTTTCAAAATATTCAGTCATCAAAATTGAGACTGGGGATTATTATTACTTACTTTTTAAGTATTCTTTTTTTAGTCGTGTTTCTTTTTTTTTTTATAAGTTCTTAGTCTAGACGAAAAGTACAGTATATATTTTTACAGTTTTGTTGACAAAAGTTAGATCATCCCCTCTTCATTTAAAGGGATGGAAATGGTGGACTAAGGGACTATAGGGAGAAGATGGGTTGCATGTATTAGTATTAAGCAGATGGCCAGATGCTTGGCATCCCAAGCCAGGCGCCATATACTGTTTCTGATCTATTTATGTTTATAAATGTCTTTGTTGCTCTCAAATGCAGCATGCGATTAGTTAAGTTCTGGTTAGATAGCGGTTCCATCTGTCCATAGGAGTGCCAGAGCCAAAACTCAGGATGGGCACTGCTGGATTTTCTGACAAATTCTAAAATGTGGATGCAGCAGACCGTGGGTAACCCCGCTAATTCCCTTCCTTCAGCTGCTCAGGAACCAATTAGAGTATAACAAGATCCATTTCCCCCAGTAACTGGATGACACACAACACAGCAACATTTTATTGGCCACACACAACTTTTATGCACAACCCCATGCAAGGGGTCTTCCACACACCCTACCAGGGGTTCTAACCCAGGAGTCTTCATACCGGAGAGCCCAAGCGTAGCTATCCCTTTCTCGACCAAATATGGAAAGCTCGCCACTCCAGCAAGGGGTCTCCCATCCCGGACAACAGGGGGGTCTTCCTCCCAGGAGTCTCTGTGCCTGGGAGCCAAAGCGCGGGAAGGGAATTGCCCCTTTGTCTCCCAGGGACAGAAAAGCCCACACGTGGGAAAAGAGCTGGTCTCTTTGTACCCCAGGCACAGAAAAGCCCACCAAACTAGCCAGTGCCCCAAAAGTGTCCACACCAACCTCAGGGACCCTCACAGCGGTACCTTCCTCGGCCAGTCCCCGTTTGCGCTGTCCCGGTGTGAAACCCAAACAAGGAAAGTGTCTCCTTTCGGGGTATGAATGCACTCATTAATTGTTTCCCTTGCGGTTTGAGGTTTCCCACTGTTGCGAGGTGTGAACATTCTAACCTAGTGTTCTAAATAGGGTATGGGGGTGATCCCCGTTAGGGAGACGAATGGATTCCCCTTGTGGAAACACTCCCGAATGGGGAGCAAGCACAATGCACAAAAATGTATGGAAACACATGTAATAGAAGGAGGAGATCCACGAACAGGCAGCGGTTCCACCACAGTAGAAATGCTAGCAGAATGCTTTGTTGTATAGGGAGAGGAATTAGCAGTAAATAGAGGGACGTGCTCATGCCATTGTACAGGGAACCGATGAGACACCACTTTGAGTATTGTACACAGTACTGGAGACCATATCTTCAGAAGTACATTGATACTATAGAGAGAGTTCAGAGAAGGGCTACTAAACTGGTTCATGGATTACAGGATAAAACGTTCAAGAAAAGGTTAAAGGATCTTAACATGTATAGCTTGGAGGAAAGACAAGACGGGGGGATATGATTACATAAAGGGAATCAACACAGTAAAGGATTCCATTTAATTACATAAAGGGAATCAACACAGTAAAGGATGAGACTATATTTAAAAGAAGACAAACAACCACAACATCGTTTTAAATTAGCAGGGCAAAGGTTTAAAAATAATATCAGGAAGTATTACTTTACTCAGAGGGCAGTGGATGCATGGAATAGCCTTCCAGCTGAAGTAGTAGAGGTTAACACAGTGAAGGAGTTTAAGCACATTCTATGTTTCTATGTTTCTATACATAGAGGGTTATCTTAGCTATAAGATTAGTGATGTCGCGAACGGTCTGCGAACGGTCCGTGAACTTGCCGTGAACGGTTCGCCGCGGTTCGCAGCGAACTCCGGTCAGCTGACACATCCCTGCCAATCTCCGGCAGACCCTCCCTCCCAGACCCTCCTACTTCCTAGACAGCATCCATGTTGAAGGCAGCTTCAACATGGATGCTGTCCAGGAGGTGGGAGGGTCTGGGAGGGAGGGTCTGCCGGAGATTGGCAGGGATGTGTCAGCTGACCGGAGTTCGCCGCGAACGGTTCGCAGCAAGTTCGCGGACGGTTCGCGACATCACTATATAAGATAAGGCCGGGAACTAATGAAAGCATTGAGAAAATATGGCAGACTAGATGGCCCAAACGGTTCTTATCCCATTGTACAGCGCTACGGAATTTGCTGGCACTATATAAATGATAAAATAATAATAATAATAATAATCTGCCGTCACATTCTATGTTTCTAGGTTTCTATGACACAAAGTTACAAATATCAATCCAGTCACAAATATATGTACATTTAAAACATTTTCTCCTATAGCACTGACACCTATACCCTGATTCCTGCCTGACAAATGAAATGCCTCCTTTCCTCTGTATGTGTTCTAGGCTTAACATGGTGGCTCAGGCAACTCTTTCAGCAACTAAAATGCAAGCATTTGGGGACAGCTTGAATTGATCCCTCAGTTCCTGCTACTATGGTTACTTGGGAGAAGCATTTGCAATGAAGCTCCACTCCTGGACCCGCCATTTGACCTGTTTAGTGAGAGTTTACTTTACCTTCCATTTGGAAGATATTTAGTCACAATGTTACTGTAGTTTTAAGAGAAGATTGTTGCAGATGTAGAATGGGTCTTTAATAATCCTCAACCAGCAGCTTTGAACACACGTTAACATGTTATAATGGATTTTATTGAATATGGAGAGATCCTATATTTCAATGAAATTTCCTGACAAATTTCAACTTCCAACCTGAGTTTTGTTATTTATAATTTAATTCAGTTCATTTTTATCTTTGCAATGTTCCAAATGACTACTCTTCTTCTGCACACTGCAAGGTCAGAAACAATGCTGCAATGGATACAAAACAATTAAAAAGCACATTTGCATCCATTTTGCATCTGTTCCATATTAACACATTACCCCATGGTGTGGATACCAGTCACACACAAAACAACACAGAGTTTTCAGGGCTCCGAAAATGAAGCAGCAATACAGTTATATTTCCATTATGCAATAAAAATGTTTTAGTTTTTGATTTATCTATCTATAGATCTATCATTTTACAGATTTATTGCAACTATGAGTTCATCACAAGGGCTGAAGGGGACAATAAGCAAAGAAGAAAAGGCAGTAATCTTCTGCCAGTGTACTTTAATAATTAAACACTAAAGATTTGTTAGTGTAGCACTAAATTTGTTTAGGCATGGGCTGTTTTAAAGCTAAATCTTATGGAAGAAATGAGCAAAGTAAGATAATAAAAGGAAATAATACACTAGAGCAATTCATCCATTTTTAGTCTGTTATTATGGATTTTTATCTAGGCTTTATGAAACATTCATCTTGTAAAACTGCTCAATATTCTATGACTGCAAATATAAACGAATCTCTGAGACATCATTTTAATTTCACCCTGAAGTCACCTGCCAAGTACAATACTATGTACACTATACAGCTGCTGAAATTAGCAAATATTCTGACTCAAAGTGAGATAATTAAAGATTCACTTAGAAAAAGAGTACAATATGTCTTTGTATCTAACACCGCAAGAAAGATGAAGCCGATTGATTTGTTCAGAACACCTAATGCTGAGTATACAATCATCGTCTGTGGTTGTAAGTAAATTGATACTCATACACAAAGTTATCTAGACGTCTTTCCAAGTTTAAATTCATATTCGAGTACCATGTGGAGATAATGTTCTCAAATTCAAAACTGGTATCTGTGACATGCAAACATTGATCCTGGATGTAAATGCTTAGAGGGCTTCTCTGTGCAAAGGCATTAATCAATGGAAAGGAAATTGTAGCGAACACATTTGTCACACTAGATTTCCAAACAAAATGTCGGAAAGATTAAGTGTGCATAAAGCATACCAAAATGACTGAGTAGTAGGCAAAGTGTGATTAATGCAAGGAACAATTGTACAAAAAACTAGGTTTCCTTAACATTCTTTATTCTTTTTATTTCATTTGATTACTTTCCAGAAGAAAAAAAAAATAAAATGTGTGTGATAAAGTCAAACAGCAAAGCTTAAAGTATCTGCCTCCTGGATGCTATAACACGTCTAATACAGGTCGAAAAAGAAATAATGAGCTGTTCAGGTTTTGGATGCTGAACAATTTTAATGGCTGAAAATAAAAAGTGCTATAAAATTCTTACAGAGAGAGCAAAGGTACTAAGATATTTTGATCATGGATTTCATGGATTTCTGGGTAGTAGCCCACTTTTGTTGTACAAGAATCTTATACGAAAAAAGTTTCCTTCACCATCACATTACTCTAGAAAGATGTTTCAATTGTGTGTGAACTAATTTTTGAATGTCAAAAATATCCATGTTATTTGTTTTTTCTTATATTATATCTACAGGCAGATTATTCCATATTGTATGCATTAATAACAATAAGTTTCTTATGCCAAGTCAGCACTGTGACATATGTGCCCTGTCCAAGATTTTTTAATAGTTACATTACCAGGAGGCAACTGCTGTTTATATGCAACTGCTGAGACTCTGTCCAACCTTAGCGATATTAAGGTGGGCAGGTTAGCTGAACAGTCAGCCAATCCGTGCAGTCTGGGTTGGAGGAAATTGACAATGATAATGCAGAAGTGCTAATTCCACCTTTTACTGAGGTTGAAATAGGGGCGGTCTCTGGTTGTTGAGAACATCCGTGATTTATGTAAACCATTTTTAAATTAAAACTACAACTAAATATAGTGGTTATGTTTCTTACAGTGCCCCTTTAAGAACAGCTGATGCAGAAAGCAGTGAAGAGTATATTATTGGAAAATAATTTCATCTTGAAGTTTTTCCCTATGATATACAGTTCACTCGTAAGCATCCTCTTCATATAAAAATAGAATAGATATAGCTTACACTCCATTATCAATGTTAACATTCTATCAGAGCGAGCTGACACATGTATGTTAAACAAAATATTACATTATATAATTATGTATACTTGAAAATATAAACCATCTATATTTAGGTACACTACAGGCGGATTTTTTAGTACACCCCTTTCTTTATATGACAGCTATATATTCAGCAAACAAAAACCAAAAATAAAGTGCGCCGTGTCTTTAAAACTAAAGATAAATACTTTATAGTAAAAGTGATCTATACATAAAACAATTAATATAATAGTATTTTTGTACCCAAAGTGACAATGTGCACGGTGCAATAATGTGCAAATTGTAATATAAACCACAATAGTGATATAGACACCTTATACTCTTATACTCACTAAGGAGTATTCCACTTTGCTTGTCACAGGGTCCCAATAAGTATCTCAAAAGAGAAAAAAAAAGGACAAGCACATAGGGCAATATGTATAATAAAAAGGAAATAAATATTGGACTAAAAACACTCACAAATGTAGAGCAGTAAAGTCTGCTCTGAACTATGATGGCATCTTTGCAAGTATGAAGACTTCAGGTTGTGGTGAAGGTAAACAAACTTTATTCACAATATAGATAAAATCTGCTTCCAGGCAGGTAAGTCCCCCTTTACAAGTTTATCTTCTTCCTCCGATCAGTGTTAAAACCAATTTCTGCGTCGATTGCCGGCTTCATAAGATAGGTACACTTCTTCCGGGAGGCAGGATTTACAGCCGTCGAGCGTAATGACGTGATGACGTCAGAGCGTGATGACGCATTTCACTGATGTACTCGTCTTCATCATTTAGCAAACAGCTTTATGATATTATTAAACTAGTTAACTGTAACGGACCGTTTTGCACACAAGGGGTAAAAACTGTTTAGGCGATCGTCCCCTTTTCAGAGATGCAGGCACAGCTATTGTAAAACACCAAACTCACGAACCGCCAATAAGGGAATGCCCCAAAATCCCAAACGGCATCCAATATAGCACTCCAAACACACGAACTGGAACCATACGAATCGCTGCTAGCAGACGAATAGGAAAAGCATCCAAGCGCTTACACTCCTAGCAATCAGTCTCTATCAGCATTCAGTAAATCCCCCCAAAGACGAGACAAGGCTCCGTGTTGAGGGTCAAACAGTGGTCTGTTTAATGAGGGCTACCTGCCCAGTATTTATGCAGGTCTCCCACCTGGTGGACACTCCCCTAGGGGACCAAATGGGAGACTGTGACAAAAGACAGACAATCAGCCAAACAGGACACACAGTCACATTATATTCCCACAATGCATCCTGGCTTCCTCCCCTCTGCCTTGGAGATAATTGAAAAGTAATTCAATTATCTCCCAAGACAAAGGCAAATTGCCATTATGCACGTGGAGATACTAAAACAGGAATTACTGTTAAAATACACTATGTAAGACACATAACATTAAAAGCATACATTTAACATATCCCCAGATAGCTCAGGTCTGAGCGCACATTATTAAGCGAATGGCGCTCAGACAACACGAATACAGTGTAATCGCCATGGAGCCAAAGTCTTTATACAGTCAGTTCTATGCGAATGAGCTCGATGGGATTCCTATCTGGGGTATAACACATTCAAGCAAAACTACCGAACACCGGGCCGTTCGTGAACTTTCACCGAATAAGAAGGGAGGTCGCGGCTTCCGCGGTGTTCGCGCAAAACTGTGTCCGATTTCAGTTCCATGAATTAAGCGTCGAACACCGCTGTGCATTCGCATGTTTAAAATGGCCGCGACCTTGTTTTCATGATACGAATGGCGGCCACCCAGCATTCGTCAATTAAGCTGCGGTTAACCGCAGCTTCAGGGAGGCTAATTGCGGGCACACTCCAGCTCCCAGGTGGTCCAGTCATTCATGCGGTTGTTCGGTAGATTGAATCTACAGAACACCAGGCAGAAAAGAACGAATAAATCTTTTCTGCAGGTGAAAATATGTCTTTTAACAGGGGGCCATAGTCCAAAGGCAGCAGGCGAGCAACCAGGCTTCTCCAATGCAATGTGGCGAGATTGGTCTCGTCACATTAACATATTTTCATTTGATCACGTATTCTAATACCTAAGGTATTTGTGAAAGCTGTAGTTTTTCTATAGCACGGTAGTTAAAATGAATTCATA